TATTGTTTAAATGTATTTTAGGAACGCCAATTTGTGTTTTATCTTTTGAAATTAAAAACTTACGAGCAACGTCCTTTGATGAAGAGACATGTATTTTTTTACATATATTGTTAGCAAACCTGGATTTGTCCTTTGTGTGGGTATAACGGTTCATACTGCCTCGAAGTGTTGCGTCGTCTGACGCCTAACATAAAACTCTAATACAGTGTGTTTTTAGGATGACTCAGCACGATCTTTGCTAACGTTATTTTAGATTTATATTGTTTTAAATGTACTTTAGGTGCGCCAGTTTGTTTTTTCTTTATGGAGATTAAAAACCTTACGCTCAACGTCCTTGGTGAAGAGGTATGTATTTCTTTATATATTGCTTTATATATAGTTAGCAAACCTGGATTTGTCTCTTTTTGTGAGTATAACGGTTCATACTGCCTCGAAGTGTTGCGGTCGACGCCTAACATAGAATTCGATTCCGGGATGCTTTTAGGAATGATTGGTATGTATATTTGCTAAAATTATTTTATATTTCTATTATTTTTAAATATTCTTAGATTCAATTTTTTGGAGATTTAAACTTACGCAAACGTCCTCATCGTTGTAGTCGCAGGTAGTATTGATCACAAATCTTTAATGCCAATAAAGAAAAAGAATCTTATTCGATCACAAAGGTTTAGTCGAGATAAAACAAGAGGTTTTTCAACAGTTCCTGTGCTTCCAATTTGAAATCTGCTCGATAAATAATGTATTATTTTGGAAATTTTGTTCTAATTTAAATAAAAAGCAAAAAAAAATGCATCGTTTTTTTTTTCATATATTCTACAAAATTAAACTTGTTAAACCGTCGAATTTTATAAAATTTCGCAAAGTTGTTATCGAAACCGTCGAAACTTTCGAGACCCAAAACCCATTGAAACTGTCGAAATAATTTCCGAAAAGTTTCGACTTTTGACAAAATGTGATTAGGGTTTTTCCCCGCAATTATATTACTTCCTGGTATAGGATGAAATATTTGAATCTTATAATTTGTAATTAGATTTTACGAGAGAGAGTTAACCAAGTACACCAGATCTACAATTTAAATCCTCGGTTAGAACTTTTATAATTCTATAAATAGATGGAACACATTTTTTATAAAATTTTATTTAAATAATAAATAAATCAATTACAAGTAAAAATGAAAATACAATTTATACATAATTTATAAAAAGTGTAGGCATATGATAAATTAAAGGACGTTGCTCGTAAGTTTTTAATTTCAAAAGATAAAACACAAATTGGCGTTCCTAAAATACATTTAAACAATA